AAAAAAGGGTGGGTAAAAGTAGGTTCAATGGGCTACTCCACCGACACCGTAAGGGCTTCCCAAACGTAGTTTGTAGCAGAACAGAGGTAATGCGTCAATGCCTCAAACCGATTGCACCGTGGAGGAGATGGCTGTCCTCGCTGGCCTCATAAGCCGGAGATCGTAGGTTCGAATCCTACCGGAGCGTCCAAGAGAAAAAGTAGAAGTACCTGTAGAATTTACTGTTAAAACAGGTTGGAGAAAATATGACTATCTCAACATATAATCGCGGGGTGGAGAAGCATGGCATCTCACTAGGCTCATAACCTAGAGACCGCAGGTTCAAATCCTGCTCCCGCTACCAGAAGTGGTTTATATGCACTGTAGCGTAGTAAACTGGATTATATTTCTAGAGTATAAAAAGGGAATACAGTAAAAAAGGACAACCGAAGGCGCGTTGTAATAGCAAATAAACCCATTGAATCCCCGACAAGAGTAGCAACTAAAACTTGTCTGGTTGAGAAATCGAGGTTTCTCAACAAAATATAGAGAGTGTTTCAAGCTACTAACTCACTCCTACTAAAAATCTGTTGCTGATGTTGAGGGCAACTTAGGTAAAAGATTCATCAGGAGATCTTTTATTGAGAGCGCAGAAATGCAGCATATCCTGATTTTTCTTGAAGTGGTTGGTTAGCCAATCGGAAGATTGCGAAATAAAGTATGCCTTAGTGCTGCTACATAGTTAATCAATCCAAAGCATTCAGGGCGATAAACCAGTTGAGAAAGCGCCCTTCAGCAGTGAAAGCTGTATCCGCGCGAGGCGGATCGAAAGTGATGACTGGATAGAATGTTTTTTAGGAAAACATCATAAAAGAGACACCTTCGGGTGTCTTTTTTTATTTATTTTTTTTAAACAATATATTTATATGGTTATTGTTATAATAAATTTTCTCTTAACTATATTAAAATAAAAATAAAGCTATATAATATTATTATTATGATAAAAAATTGGAGAAATAACATGGAATACAATCAAAATTATGAAAATGACTTAAATATATTAACAAAACAGTTAAATAAAATATCACTAGAAAAAAGTTATGAAAAACTTATTGAGCCATATAAAAATAATCCCGCTTTAGTGAAAATGTTACACAAAAAAAATGAGCATTTATTTGAAGAATACAAAGATACCCCTGATTTAGAAGATAAAAATATATTAAGATCACTAAATGAAAATCAAATATCAAATTTAATAAAGGTTTTAAAAGTAATAGAAAATCCAAATGAAATAAAAAATGTAGTAAATCCAGATGATAATTATTTTTATAGAAATTTAATAGAGACTAATCCATTAAAACCTCTTTCTATAGAAAATGATATTAGTAGTTTTATGTCAAGTATAAATAATGGAGAGGAAAGATTAAAAATAAAACAAATAATATTAGAAATAGCAGAGAAAAATTATCCTGAAATAATTAAAAATATTTATCCTGATGCGAAAGATGAAAGAGTTAATGATTATTTTCATAAAAACCATATAAAATTATTACATAGAGAAAATGTTTTATCTGAAGAAATAAATGTTATATCTAAGAATCCTACCGAACTTTATGATTTTTTAAATGACGATAAAAAGCCTCCTTTAGGAGATAGAATAAAATCACTAAAAGGGTTTTTAAAAGAGAAAAATATTATAGGTGAAGATGTTCAAAATAAAAATAAATTAAAATAATTATAAAAATATATAAATAAAACGCCATAAACTAAATATAGATCTTATCCAACTAATAAAAGAGTTAAAAATTTTTATTGGATAAGGTCTTTTTAATTTTTTGATTATAATATTTGTTGGAATATCTACAGGATTAGAAATAATGCTTATAACAGACGCTGAAATCCCTGCTGTTGTATCAGTATCTCCACCAGAGTAAACAGATGAAATTACTACTTCTTTAATCGTATTATGGTAATATATCTGAGCAATTATAGCCTGAAGAGTATGAAGTGAAAATCCAGATATCCCTTTTGGGAATGTTGCTTTAGTCCATTTTTGATATGATTCATAATTTGATAGCCTTTTATCTGTATCTCTGATAAATCCTTGCCATATATCTGTTATTTTTTCATCTATAGTTACTTTTTGAGTAGCTTTTCTCAATATATTTTAAAATACTTTTTTTTGATTAAAATCTTTATTATCTAGAATCTGGCAAGATTCATTTTCTTTATTATTAATTTAAAAAAGCGACAATATCAGCTACTGAATGAGAAGCAAGCTCTGCCAATGGATCAGTATGTGTAATTGTCGTTGATACATGTACTATTTGCTTTCTTAGATCTTCATTGTCAAAATAAAAAGCGCCTATTATTGGTGCTCTCATAAGAGGTCCATTTCCTGCAGAAAATACACCTGTTTTACTTGGACTTATTCCTATAGTTAATTTAGATAAAGATTTTAGTGTTGCCATACCAATACCAGCAGGTAAAGTAAGAAACCATGTTCTCAATCTTTTAGATAAGGATCGCTCAAAATCTTTTTTAATATGCTGACTATTTTGACTATCAAGAAGCGCTAAATAAGTCATAACAAGATGCTCAGTATCATCAGTAATTGTATTTTTTATTTTATTAAAATTGAGAGGATATTTCAGCTCTGGTTTAATCTTATTTATTAAATCAGGAGACATATTTTCATAAGGAAAACCAAAGGAGTCTCCTAAAGCCATAGCATTAATCATATTAAAGATGTATTTTTCTTTCATATTATTCCTTTTTTATTTATATATTTGTTTATTATATACAATTAGAACAAAAGTAAATAGAATTAAGATGAAATAAGTAGTATTCTATGTTATGATAAAAAATCAAATAAAAGGAAAATATAATGAAATGGCTAATACAAGACACAGATCGATTATTAAATATTGTTAATCAAGAGTTAATGGCTCTTAAGGTTTTTAATAAATCTTATTCTGTTTTTGGAGTTCTTAAAAATGAGAACATATTAACAGGACTTTATGAAGAAGATCTGAATGATAGCAATTATATTTTTAGATGTGGTGTAAAAGTAATTAATATGCTGTCTGCTGGAAAGGTAGAAAATCTTGATAAGGAGACATTAGAAAAGTTAAGAGCAGGAATATC